CCGGTTTAGTGTGAGAGATCACACACGCAGGGCCGGGCAACAGAATTCGGCTTGCAGGCAGCCATGGTAAGCCACAGTCTTTTGGCTTCTTTAAGTCTTCAGGGCAAATTAATCATTAAACATGCTTGCTTTTAAACCATGTATTGTATTTACAAAGGTACACTCACCAAAGGTGCCTTCTCCGGCTTCATGGTCTGGGAGCCTGGGTTGGGAGGGTACTGGCTCCAGGGTGATAAACAGTTCCTGGCTGTCGGGGAGAACGGTTTCTCCTCTTGCTTGCTGTGCACGATCTTCAACCTCCCCGTCCCCAAAATCCTCATCCCTGTTGCATGAGACTCCCCCCTTGCAGGAGTCCACAAACAGGGGTGGGGTAGTGGTGGGGGCACCCCCTAGAATTGCATGCAGCTCATCATAGAAGTGGCATGTCTGGGGTCTGACCCGGAGTGGCCGTTTGCCTCTTTAGTTTTTGATAGGCTTGCCTCAGCTCCTTAAGTTTCACGCAGCACTGCTGTGGGTCCCTGTTATAGCCTCTGTTCTTCATGCCCTTGGAGATTTTTTTTTCAAATGTTTTGGCATTTTGTCTTTTGGAATGGAGTTCAGATAGCATGGATTCGTCTCCCCATACAGCGATCAGATCCAGTACCTCCCGTTCGGTCCCTGCAGAGCTCTTTTGCGATTCTGGGACTCCGTGGTCACCTCTGCTGATGAGATCTGCACGGTCACCTGTGCTGCTGAGCTCGCCATGCTGTCCAAACAGGAAATGAAATTCAAAAGTTCCTGGGGCTTTTCCTGTGTACCTGGCCAGTGCATCTGAGTTGAAAGTGCTGTCCAGAGTGGTCACAATGGAGCACTCTGGGATAGCTCTCGGAGGCCAATACCGTCGAATTGCGTCCACACTACCCCAAATTCGACCCGGCAATGTTGAATTCAGAGCTAATCCCCTCGTCGGGGAGGAGTACAGAAATCAATTTTAAGCACCCTTTAAGTCGACAAAAATGGCTTTGTTGTGTGGACGGCTGCAGGGTTAAATCGATCTAAGGCTGTTAAATTTGACCTAAACTCATAGTGTAGACCAGAGCTAAGGGTCAGAGCCAGCATCAGGAGTCCAGAGCAGGGTTGGAGCAAGGATGGAGAAGGACTAGGAACAGGGCAGGGGCAGGCTAAGGCTTGGAGTCGGTTGCCACTAGCAGGCAGAAGAGGGTTCCAAGCCCTGAAATGATATTTGGCAGACTCCACTGCTGTTCCACCAGTGAGGCGCTTATACCAGCCCTGAGTGTCACCAGACCAGTCCCTGGCTTGTGGATTGGCTGGAGCCTAGCACAGGTGACTCATCGCCTTACAGATCTGCTGTAGCAAATCCTAAACTCGGCACAGAACTGTCGATATCTCGAAAGGCGCATGTATCGCTGTGGCTAATGGCTTCCCCACCCTGTCGTAATATTTCGTATATTTCTTTTGCGTCCTTAGGTCCTGGAATCTCCAGCTACTCTGGATCCCCGGGGGAAGCTGGGAACAGTTTAAAGCTGTGCCTCGGCCAGGCAATGAAGGAAATCCCTAAGGAACAGCATGACCAAACCCCTGTCTATTTGGGAGCGACTGCTGGCATGAGGCTGCTGAAGTGAGTCAAGGTTTCAGCTACCCATGTGCCGATGGCAGACTGGGTGTGAACGACCATTTTATAA